CCCCCAAGAAAAGCCCTAGAACTCGCCATTCCTGCAGCGGCCTAGGGGCTTTGGGGGCTTGTGCAGAGCCCCCCATGTGGCGTGGGGGAATGGGAGGCAGTGGGGATCATCACCTACCAGGAGGAATGGTAAGTCTAGGGATTTTTCCATTTTTTTTAATTTATTTTCTTAAAGGGCCAGAGGTGGCCTGGGTGGCATGGCAGTGGGGGGGGCAGTGGGGATTGCCCCCTCTGCCTGGCAGCACCCACTGAGTCGGGGCTTGTTAAAAAAAGTGTGCTGGGAGCTGGGGCGGATGGAGCAGCTATTGCTGGGCTGGGAGAGCGGGCAAGGGATGGGCCTGGCTTGACTGATTTGGAGATTCAGCAATAGCCAAATCTTGGTAGATTATTCATTCCTGTACTACTACTTAATACTGAGAGGAGGATGGAAATGTGAGGAAGAGAGCAATATTTTAGGCTGAGAAACTCTACCTAATTTAGGAACTCTACCTTTACATCCAATCATAAAAGTTTAACATATTTACCATTGACAGCACAGTGGCATGTGAAAAAATACAAACTATTAACTGACCTGGTAACTTGACAAGTAACAAGTCCACTGTCCAAATGCCTAGTGTATACAGGGTGCTAAAAGACATGTGTATGAAATAAAGTTTGGCAAAGATGATGACGAATTTGTGCACTGATGCATATAAGAGTGTTTAAGAAAGTCTGGTGAGCTTTGTAATGAGTTTTCCTTTTCTTTTTGTATAAACAATACAAGAGATGAGACCTAGCCTATTTTCTGCTAAAAGTCTTCCACCTCTTGCTCGTTTATACTTGATCATTTGTATTCAACTTTTAAAGAAATAGTTTTTACACACACACATTTTGTTAAAAGTGTATTGGTGAAAAATAGTGAGAAATTATTTTAAAAGAACATTATTGGAAAATCAAGTACTCAAAAAATTTAGTATATGCTAGAATGAAGGTTATTGAATTGAGGTGAAAATGAAGTGTGAGGTAATCTTTAATTACATGACCACAATCTTTCCCTCCCCCCTCTTCCCCCCCACAAAATCATAACTACCACATTTCCTCCAAATAAGACATGCACCTTGTTTTGAAAATATAGAAGGAAGAAAATATATTTTCCAGAGTCATGGCCAAATGAGGTTTTGTAAAGAAGGGACAGAGTCTGCTTTTCAGCAACACTCACTCTGTCCCTGAAAACTCCCCTGCTCAGCCAAAATCTCCTGCCAATTTGGCAGTGGCTGTGATGGGGTTAAAAGGGTTTTTAGCATAAGCTAAAATACATTCATTTGTAATTTGAGCCCAGCTCAGAATGTTTTACATTAGGAATTACTTGCATTAAAAATGCAGCAGGATCTTTTTTTTTTTATGAACGGAAAACTCTTCTAAGTTTTATTCTGAACATCAATTTGATGTTGTCAGCAAAGTTCTGCAAAACTTAAGATGACAGAGCATCTAAGTCTATGGGGCTTGTTTAGTCTTTAGATAACATTTCTAGTATATGGGCCTGGGAACTGAAAGTTTTTGTTCTTTTGGATTCTGCCATCAACTTGCAACCAATTGCTAGTTCTCCTTGCTCATTGAACAAAAATGTATTCGGAGGTATTTGGAACCATATAGAATCATCTTTTGGGGCTTAGTCCTGAATGCTATTGAAAGAAGATTGGAGAACCGATGGGCTAGTTCTACCCAAATGGAAAATCTAGACACCAAAACATTTATTTGGGATCCAGATTTCAAGTCATAGCGAGCATTGTTGAACCTTCATTTATATACTGGATCGGCACATTTGCACTCACTACTGTTTACTTAGGCACACATACCTGTTTGCCTGTACAATATGGGTAGTTTATGTATAGAAGCACTTTTTGTGAACATTTTTAAAATTTCTTTTTCATTAATCTGTTGCTTTCACCTCTTCTGTGTAGGTGAATATGCATCATTGTCATTATGCAAAAATGGGAGAGACTGAACCCAAGAAAAGGGAAGTGACTTGCCCCAGTACACTCATGGATTGTGAATATGATTGCCAGTCCCACTTCATACTATTATCAGGAAAAAAACCAAACCAAACCTGTGCCTGCTTCCAGAGAATCACCCTTTTGCTCCAAAGTTTGGGGCTAGTTATACATTTGATACAGTGACTGTATAATGTAACCAGATTTACCACCTTCCCCCCTGCCATCATTTTAAAAGAAAATCATAGTCAGGTGGGGTTTTTTTTGTTTTTTTTAAAGGGATAGGCACCCATGTTCAGGAGAAGATACCATTTTGTTGATTCCAAGCACAGGAAAATGACTATTTGCAGTCCTTAGTAAGGTCTCTAAGCCTCAGAGAGAGTTTAAGATACACTCTTGTTTTCAGTTGGCTAGTTTTAGATAACCTCTAACTCAGGGTGCTGGTTCTTGTGAATCCGTTTCTTAGATACCTGACTGTCCTTTCACTCACTCTTTGTGGAGTGTGAGCACCTAATGTTTTCTCAATTCAGCTCCTGGAGGCCAGGTTTGTTAGCACATGTGGTAATAGGAATTGACTCATTATAAACACTTTGATTTGATTCAGCCCAACTTTCTCATTTAAAAAAAAAAAAAAAATTCCCAGTGAGCTGACCATCTTTACTTGTGTAAAACTGTTGGAGATCATTGATAGTCCATACCACTGCTGGTTATTTATTCTTGTATGTGGAGTCACTCCATTTTTATGTCAGCTACAGATAAGAGAGAACACAAGGATGTAGGAGAAGATCAAAAGAAGGGTATAAGCAGAGACCCACTTCTCTCACTGAGCACAAGGTACTGGTCGTGACTGCGGATACAGAAGTCGCTACAAGCCCTGTGGTGGTAAGTTCGTTATAGTGAATGACTATTTTTAGTTGCATTTGAAACAGGTGTGTATTTGTCATCACACGCTAGTAAGCTGTGCATGATCGATAAATATGGCACTTTTTTTAAAATTTTTTTTTCTCTCTTAATTTGCATTTCATTACTTTCAGTTTCTCTGCATTCATCAGTGCTTTATTTTAAAGAGACTGGGAAAGGATGTAAACTAAAGATCAATTTAGGATTTTCCCCTTCTGTTTCTCTGGCAGATACTATGTCATCTGCTAGGAATTATATTGCTATAAGAGAAGAGTAAGACAAATAAAAAGACTAATGATCTTCTTGGCCTGAAAAACCGTAAACCTAGGCAGGTAAGATTGCAGTTGCTTGACCTGTATTTATTTTCACTTGATGTGAGGATTGTGCACAATTGTATTGTAAAAGTGCTGCATGGCTATGTATATGAGGCAGGGTGTTGATCACAAATAGAATCCAAATCACAATTAGATACTAGGATTGAGGGTTTAGAAGGTAAAAACATTAAAAAAAATAATATTGTATCTTTTTTTCTCTTGTAGAGCTTGCTGAAGATGATGCCTAAAATTTCCTTCCAGAAAACATCTGAAGATTGGAATATCAGAAGATGCTGGCAACAGACAGATTATATTTCCTTTAAAAATGTTCCATCATGCTGTGAGCTGTAAACTGTTTTAAAGAAAACAATATCAAGAGTTGCCATGAGTTGTAGAATAAATATATTTAAATCATGCAGATTTCTTTAAATATATTCTTTTTCTTTTTGAAAATATAAAGAAGCTCTTTTATATAGCAGGAACTTGAAATGCACATCAAGACAGAATGATTTTTCTTCAAAAAGCACAATAATATTTAATGACATGGAGGAGTTGACTTGGCGCAGAAATTGGCCTTTGCTTCTAGTAGCAAATGTATTGATAATAAAAATATTTTATATAGAAATATTTTGCATATGTTTATTATGTGTAAGTTACTTAGAGCTAAATTAAAATATGATTTACATTCATGTACATTTCTTTCCCAGGGTACTTGACATACTCTAGACTTAATTATGATCTTATTGTCACTTGTTTTTTATACCAGTGTAATAACTACTCCTGACTTAAAATGGTAGAAGAAGAGAATTAAACAGTAGATCTACTGGGTTTAGATCATCCATCACTGAAATGTTGTCTCTTGAAAAACAGCATACTGTAACAGCAAATAATAGAAAGTGTGAAATGCATTTTGAAGAATTTGCAACACCCCTAAGTTGTGATGCTAATTTATGGACCTATTTTTAAGCAGTTCTAGTTGAAATGAAGTCATGCCAAGAATTTTAGACATTTGTAAGATACCAGTCAATCTGGAGGACTGTGTAAAGGAGTAATTCATTGAGAATTAAGGTCATATGATAAAGTATAGGGGCCCAGAAAATCTGTTGGATTCTATTGGGAAGAGTCCATAGAGTTGTAAATAATTGGAAAGCATTTAACCAAGAAGCCATAGAATAAGTAAAATAGGAGGCAAATTGTTCTGTAATGTATTAGCGGAGTTAGCAGCTGGAAAATTTCTACCAGGTAACTTTTTGTAGCATCTAAGTTTAGGCTGTTACTTTACCTAGTTTGTAATATTCCACCTTACATTATAGAGTTTGTAATGTAGTTAATTGGTCCTCAAAACTCCCACTTTCTTTTCCTTTGTGTTTTGAATTAAGCTAAATTTTACATGTGTGGTTTGGTTATGTATATATTTAATTTAATCTTACATGGAGTCTTGTGCCAAAACATCTTTATGTATTAGTTTAACTAATTTGTGTCATCATACCTTCTTGTAATAAATGTTAGCAGTTTACTGATATTTCAGAATTACTGGGAGCACAACATAGTATTTGTAATGGTTGTAATAGTTGTAATCGTTTCTAGACAAGCAGGTGTTTTTTTGTTGGGTTTGGTTTTTTTTTTGTTGCTCAGTAATGACATCATGAGGTGAATAAAAACTTTTCAAATATACAGTAGTAACCAGTGCTGTTCTTTTTCTTTTTGACCCTTCTACCCAATACTTGTAGTTCAGGTCTTCATCTTATGCGAGTTGATGTATTTATACCTGGTGAGTAAGTGGTACGCATTTCAGAAACCAAAGAAAGCCACATGTTCAGAAAACAAACTGCAGCATTATGGGAAGGTTGTACATCAGCTTGTTTCATGGCAGATTCTGAAAGTCATGGAAAATCACTTGTCCAAGGCCATACAAGCCTAAGTAACAGAAGTGAATTAAATGTAGATTAAAGCAATCTAGACAGTGATCAAAGACTGATTGTATCCACAAGAAAGACTAAGATAATTGAGCAAAATAGCCAATGTGAAGTCCCCAAGGAAAAGTGGCAGAATTAAACAAATTTAGATAAACCTAAGGACTTTAAAATGAACTGTTATATGAAAAACTGGCAATTAAAAAGTGGGTTAATTAGTTTTGGAAAGTGTGTAAAGAGTTTTAGTTAGCATTTACATGTGGGTGCATGATTTGGAGTGAATGTCTATGTAAATGCATGGGAATAGGTGGTTTTAGTCTTGCTATAGTCTCCTAGGATGGGAGTGATTCTGCCAAGAGTGCACACAATGGGTTGACAAGATTAGCATTTAAATGGTCCAAATTAGGTTTAAGAGTTAATGGGGGTAGCTCAGCTTTTCAGAGAAAATGGCTAAACTTCTATTTGGGGACTTCAGGGGTGTCAGATGTAGCTGTGTTGGTCTAAGGAACAGGCAGACAAAGTTCTTCAGGTAAATCCAATACCTTTTATTAGACCGAAAAATTCTTTTTTGCAAGCTTTCAAGTTATGATTATCCTTCATCAGGCAGGGGGAACATCTGCAGATGGTCTGTACTCTTCCTGGATGGAGTAGTAAGGCAGTCAGAGGCCAGTACATCTGCAATAAAGCTAGTCAGTTAAAATGTAAATTGGGTTGGTCAACAGGTGGGGAGGTGCAGGTGGGAAGGGGAATGAATGTAGCTATAGTCAAAGGATGAGAGATGGGAGGGAGAGGAGGAAAGGGAATGAATATAGCTGGTAAAAATTGGGGGGTTTACTTAGGCAGTCAGATGTTAGGAAGGTTATAGTGGTGTCATAAATCCAATGTCTATATTTAGTTCATGATTTTTTGTATCCAGTAGATAGAAGTGAAGTTCATAGGCTCATTTGTGAAAGGAGTTTTGTAAATTCCCTTTGAGGAATTGGAGAGAGAGTTGTTTTCTTGTGAGAAGTGTGCATTCATTCTGGTGCGCAGTTGTTGTTTGGTCTTTCCTACATGCTTTCCATCAGGGGATATGGTGCATTGGATAAGATATATTACATTTCTGTAGGTGCAGCTATAAGATCCAGGAATGCTAATGATTCTGTTGTAGTAATTGTGGTGGTGGTGGTAGAGATGTGCTGGTAGGTTTTACATTTCTTGTCCTGGCATGGTCTGGATCCATTCACTGTGTTTTGAGCCGTAAGAAATTGCTTTTGGTGATGAGGTTGACAAGGTTCTGTGGTTGTTTAAAGGTTAGGATGAGTGGTTCTGGGAAGATATCTTTAAGAAATGGGTCTCCTTCTAGTATGGTTGCAATTGTTTTAGTATTTTCTGTATAGGTTCCAGGGAGGGATGATATGTCATAACCAGTGGTGTGTGATTCATCGGGTTTTTTTTTCTGTACCATAGCAGTTCTTCTTGTGATAGCCGGGTGGGTCTTTCAAAAGTGTGATCTATCTCTCTAGAGGAGTGTCCTTGTTGAGTGACGGCCCTTTTGAGACTTGTGAGGTGACAATCACAGGTGTTCTCAGTGCAAATTTGGTAGTATTGGAGGGGTTGTTTGTATATTATAGCTTTCTTGGTGTGTTTAGGGCGATTGCTTGTTCTGTGTAGATATGGACTTTGGTCTGTGGGGTTCTTATATGTGGTGGTCTGTATTTTACCATTCTGGATAGTGACCATTGTGTCTAAAGAGGAAATGTTGGTATTGGAGTATTCCAGAGAGGAGGGATGGTGCTTGTTGAATTTCTGATAGAAATCAATCGGAGACTGCAAGTTTTCAGTCCAACTGATGAAGATGTAATCAATATCTCTTAAGTATAGCAAGGGTTTGATGGTACAGTCCTTGAGGAATTTATCTTCCAGGTAGCTCATGAAAAGGCTGGCATACTGCACGGCCATTTTGGTGCCCATAGATGTGCCCATGGTCTGGAGGAAGTGTTGGTTATTGAAAGTGAAGCTGTATGCAAGGATGAAGTGTATAAGGTCAGTAATATCTTTTGGGTCTGTACTCTGAGTTGTAATCTTGCTCTTATAGATATGTAAGGCAGGCTTGAATGCCACCCTGATGTGGGATGTGGGTATATAGGCTGGTAACAACTATGGTGGCTAGGAAGGTGTTGCAAGGCAGGTGGTCTGTGTGTTTAAGTTTTTATAGAAAATTGTTTCTTGGACAAAACTCACTCTTTGGGTGACAAGAGGTTTTAGGATTGATTCGATGAAACCTGTTATTTCCATATTTCCTCAGTGAGGGTTCCATGGCACTAAGAAGTACAATGCATATGTAGAGTGAAATTCCATACCAACAGTTGTATTTTGATTCTTCAAACAAAATCTAGCCTTCTTGAGTATCTTAATTGTGCATCCAATGCTTCACTGAAAGTTATTTCCACACCTGAGTTAGTTTTTAGTGGAAGTTAAAAACAATCTGTAAGGCTCTGAAATAGGAGCTACCTTAAGAGGAGCAGCAGACAGACCACAGAATTGCAGAAGAAAGAATATCTGAGTTAGTGCCATCAAGACCATTAAAAAGGGAGAAAGGGTTATTAACACCTGTGGAATAAAGAGTTTAGAAAGAATCAAGTAGATTATAATGAGCCATGAATTCAAGTGACTCCCTCATTGCTACCTGAAGAGAAATGCTGCTGCCACTGTTGGGCAGTTGGTTTTCAATTTTGGGTGGACTAGAATCAATGGGGATATGTGTGACTGAACCACTGCACAGCCCCTGGATCCATCCCTGAGTACATGTAGAGTCTAATAGAGTTAAATGAATATTTTGAGCAAGGTAGGTGTATGCAAATATATACATGAAAGGCAAAAAAGGAGTCAAGTGATATACTGAGGCCAGGGTCCCAAGTCAAAGTGGCAGAGCTGGGAAAAGTACCAAAAAGCCTCATTTAATAAGATGAATACATCCTATGACTGTGTACTACTTTAGAAATCCTGTTATGGCAAAGTTTTATTGGGTAAATAGAATATTGGAGGACTATTAATTTATTAAGTGCTTCAAAAGCAGACAGACCAGCCATTTTAGGTTGTTTTTCTTGTTCCAGCTAGGAAGTCTCCGAAGATGGTGTTTTCTAAAGATAATGGCTCTTATTAAATCAAACTCCACAAATGTAAGTTTCCATGGTAACACAGTAGAGTCTGTGCCAAACTTGGCCCTTGCAAGTCAGACTTATCAGTCCACAGGTAGGTTTGCTGTTTTATAAAAACAGTCTTCATTTTGTAATTTAGAAGGAAGAAATAAAATCAAGAAGGTTGTATGCAGTTTTACTTATGGTAACGTGTTGAATGTGTTTACATGTTTCACAGATGGCATTGTGTGTGTCTGATTTGTGTGTCAGAAGTGCTCTAATTAGGTTTTTAAACATGTGTTGATACTATGCAGCATAGACTCAGTTACAAACATGAATGTCTGAAAAATTACCTGTGGACTGGAGCGTTTAGAAACATGGCTGATGATTCAAGTATAGTGATTTTTTTTTTTTTATATATGTGTATGTGTGTATGTGTATATATATGTATGTAGGAAGAGTACATTGGCTCATTGGAATGCAAACCCTATGCAACTTTTATCCAGAATTAGGGAAAATGATTGCAAAA